TCTCTCTGAAAAAACTGACAGTATCCGCGCGGAAAACCAAACCGGAGTCAAAAGAATAGGGCAGTCTGTGACGATAATAATTTTGATTTGTAGAGCAAGTGTACCTTTCCTCGAAAAAAAACTGTGATAAGGGCAATGAATAATCCTTTGTCTTGTCAAACATATGAAAACAGCATCTTCAATCGACAGACTAGGAGTAGCGAAAGCAAGAGTTTGTAGTGGTGCTTTAAGGATATCTCAAGGCCTAGCAGTTATCCGCTGTCAGTTGAGGGAAATGGAAAGTTTCCTGGAGGATTCTACTCTATAGAAGGTGGCATTACGCTTAACTTCAGAAAGGACGCATATTAGCGAATTATAGCCTAAAACCTGACCTTGGCCCCAACTCAAACCCTACCTTAACACTAACAGCCTTTACACTCTCAACCCTGACCGTAGCTCCCACCTCGACACAGCACCAAATCTTCCCAACATTTAACGCAAGACCACATGGATTACGGGAGATCCCCTTTCTCGTGTTTTGCTAAAATCGAGTCCACGGATGCTTTAAGGCGATGTTTCCGTTTTGGCAATGTTATTGCACCGACCCGAGTAAATACTCCTGTAAAAGGTGTTTTTCGACAGACACTCGCTTATTAAAATTGAAGGAATTTAAGCTTTCGCCCATATATTTCCACTCTCAAGCAACGCATAGCAACTCCCTATCACCAAGTTCTCATTTTTCATCAGATTTTCTATTATTTAGATACACATTAGTCGATTACTTGGGGATTTTTACCGGGTCATCGACACATTTCGTGGATTTCAGCATTATCTATGAGTTCCATCACTTAAGGCATGTCAAAATTTTTTCAGGTATTTAAATTTTCCAAAAAGGGATCATAATAATTTTTTTGCCCCGATTCATTTCAGTACAAAGCAATTTTGGTGAAAAGCCAGTTGCCAAACATCTCGTTTGGAAACGCGTCACGCCTCCTCACATGTTCGTAAAACCTACGAAACTGCTCAGTACGGTTTTTCTTGAAAGCCACAAAAATGTACGTGCGTCAAATTACACTTTCAGACAATCTCCAATTAAAAAGCATAACTCAACTCGAAATGTCCTAGAGCCTCTGGCAAGACACAAGAATAGGAACTGCCGCATTTCGAGGTCTTACGCCCCCTTCAAAGGAGATTAGGACTAGCGGTAAGGCCAAGTTTAGAGCGTTGGTTAAGGTTAGGGGTATGCTTCAATATATTTATAACTGCGGGAATTGTGCACAAAGTCACTGAGAGTCACTATTCCTGTGTCTTACCGACATTCAAATAGAATATGTCACATGATAAAACGAGAGAACGGGGCCACTTCCGAGGAAATAAGCGTTTGTCGGTTTAATCGAACAGCTAGATTATCCTAGAGATAAAACCCTGTAATGACGACTTCCTCTGAAGTAAGTTGGTAAAAGAACCGCATATAATTGAATACGAACTACCGCTACGGTAAACTCACGACTGCAACGCAACTAGTTTCGTTCTCTCCATATCGTAAGTTCGGCCAGTATTAAAAGAGTCTGTTTTCTTACTGTAGATTGAAATATAAATCCACGTTGGGATGGGCGTACATCGATCCGATTGGTGACTCAGAGTACACGGGCTCTGTTGGTCGGACACGTGAATAAAGTCCAGTGTATTACAGGCGGATCTGCGCTAAATTCCCATAGGGAGGGAGGGGTATTTAGTCTTATGTCCTAATCCTTAGCCGAACTGGCGCAAGTCCGCCTGCAATGCTAGGGAGCCCAGATTCCCGTCTTCAATCGCTCTGTTCGTTGTTGCTAGAAGCTGTGAACACACAACCAACCAGCCAGACATCAAAGCGTGCAAGTAGTCCGATAAACAGAAGCGGGATTGAGAAAGTAACTACTTGTGGTTTACTAACGTCTGTTTCAGACATCCATACTCGCCCCCCCCCAACCCTGACTAGTATCTGCAACCACACAAACCCACGTGTAGGCCTTGTTCCTGACGTGTGATATCAGAGCATGCAGGCAGTTTGAACTGAACCGCTGATCACGTCAATGTGTGCGTCATTTTCAATGGCCGATCCACAAAGACTGACTGAAATATGGTACTGCTAATTCCT